CCACAAGCCATCTTTTAATTTAATAATACATGTCAGACATTTCCAGTCAACATTTCTCTATAGTTCCTTAGGTCCATTCTCTTCACTTAACAACAGGTATTTTGGGGGGAACCTCCAATGTTGAAGCACTATGTAAATGCTAGGAATATGGAAATAAAGAAGATAAACGAACTTTGAGGCATCCACAGTCCAACAAGGAAACCAGACACTTAGCATGAGCTGCAAAGGTTGTGAGAAGGCTGTGATGGGGTGTCACTGAAATGTCCTGATAGCCGTGGGCTCCTAGTTCCAACTCAAGTGGGGTCGGTCACAGAGGGCTTTAGAAAGGAGATAATAAATCAGCTCTTGAAAGATGAACAGGAGTCCACCGGGGGAAGGGCATTCAAGATAAAGCAAATAGCACACATACAGTCATAAAAATATAAATGCAAATGGCAAGACAGCCAGCATGCTCAGAGTAAAGGCTGTGATCTGAACTTGGAGATCAGATTTTTCAGGTTTTATTCATCTCTACAAAAGGAGCTTCTCTTTTTCCAGAGATTACTTCACTCACTTCAAAAACCTACCTCAGTGGCTTCCTTGGTGATGCAGTGGTTAAGAATCCACCTGCCAGTGCAGGGGACACGGGTTCGAGCCCTGGTCCGGGAAAATCCCACATACCATGGAGCAGCTAAGCCCCTGCGCCACAGCTACTGAGCCTGCACTCTAGAGCCCGCGAGCCACAGCTTCTGAAGCTCATGTGCCTAAGAGCTCGTGCTTCACAGTAAGAGAAGCCACTGCAATGAGAAGCACACGCACCGCAACAAAGAGTAACCCCCGCTCGCCGCAACAAGAGAAGACATGCGCACGGCAACAAAGACCCAGTGCAGCCAAAAATTAATTAATTAATTAATTTAAAAATAAAAAACCTACCTCAGGACACCGTAATGATCTTTCTGATATGAAAAACAAACACAACTTGCATACACACTGATTGAATCTTTTTTTTTTCTGATGACCAGGCGGTCTCCTTTTACTTTATATTTCTGTACATACATAGACAGGTAGTATCTAAACTTTTATGTGTGTGGTAAATATACGTGTGTCATTCCTGTTTTCCATTATTAGTGTTGTGGATATTTTCATGTTTTTCATTTTTCATCTTTTTTATTAAGCAAAGAAAATTCTGCATCCTCAGCTCACACTCATTTCAAAGCCTGAAACACAATCTGTGAAAAATTGGTCTCAGAGTCACGGTCACACTTCAGTGAGTTAAGTGACATCGAAAATCACAAGGGCTCCACTGTCACACACTGATGTAATTTTGGTGGCTGCACCTTAGTTGGTTTTATTTTGTTACTTTTTCAACATCAGTAAAAATCACAATTTTTCTAAGAATGGACTGGGACCAATGTCAACATGTAAGACAGGAATCTTTCTGAAGAAAATGGAAATTATCAGCTTACACTAGAAATACTTTTCGATATTGTTAGACAAATATATTAATATTCTTTTCATCTCTTTTCAAATGAATCAGGACACCAAAGGTGAATAAAAATTGGGAAAGCATCCGCAAACATTTGTTTAAATCTCTCTTATTCATTTTTGATTACATAAATTAATCCTATTAAAGTGGTACTATGAAAAGGTATTTTACTATCCCTGTGGAATTCAATAAGCACATTCATTTGCTAGGGCTGCCATAACAAAGTACCACAGACTTGGGCGGCTTAAACAGGAATTTATTGTCTCCTAATTCTGGAGGCTGGAAGTTCAAGATCAAGGTGTTGGCAGGGTTGGTTGCTCTCTCCCCGGCTTACAGATGGAGATGACCATCTTCTCCCTATGTCCTCACACGGTATTTCCTCTACACATGTCTGTGTAACTTATCTCCTCTTCTTATAACAACACCAGTCATATTGAATTAGGACCCCCTCCCAATGACCTCATTTTAACTTAATTACCTCTTTAAAGACCCTCTCTCAAACAACTCACAGTCTGAGGTACTGGGGGTTAGAACAACATAGGAATTTGGGCTGGGGGAGAGTACAAAGTTTAACCACTGTTTGTTTTTGACAAACAGCCCAAGGGAACAAGTTATTTGCATTGGGCAAACTCTGTCCCAAGTCACAAAGAGACAAGCCTTGTAAATGGGATTTTCTAGGGAACTGCTAGAAACTTCAACTGATGACAATTCTGAGCATGAGGCTTTGAAAGAGCTCCAATCCTGTTCTGACCCCTCCAGCAGTTGCTAGACTGCTCTTTTGCACCATGATTGCAGGCTGTTGATTTTTAAGGCTAACGTAAAGCTGAGCAGGGGGAAAATTTAAATTTCCCAAAGCTCAGGGTTCTTACTGCAATTCAGCCATTTTTCTTGAGCAAACACTCCTGGAGTTTATTTACAGAGTTCTAAAAGAGTTTGCTTTGTCCGTTTCTGCCAGCGTTCTCATTGCTTTCATGGAGGAGAGGGTTTTCAGAGGTCCTTTCTCCAGCAGTCCCGATGACAACCTCTTGGCTTCATCCTGTGTTGTTTCTTCATACCTGTGTCCCAAGTTTCTAATTCTCTCTTCAGTCAATTCCAATTGGATGTTAAACCTCCATATAGATTTTAATTTTAATAATTGTATTTTTAATTTCTAGTTCCATTTGGCCATTTACATAGCCAGAAATCAAAATCTAGGTGAATTTTATTTTATATGCCTGTCTCTGTTTTCTAGTCATGTCACAATAAACATATGCTTCCTCAATGGGAAGAAAAATTTGAAAGTCATTTTATCACCTTTTCTTTTTGACTTCCTGTTTGTGCCTCACTCTGAGCCCACAGAACCCTGTCATCACCTGTCTTCCCCCATCACTTCCAAACACAGATAAAGAGTTGGTAACTCAGAAGAGAAACGTTGAGAAATAAAAGCAAGATGCTGTTGTTCTTTGCTTTGCAATGCCCAGTAATCCTGCTCTACTTGTTTCAGAGGCATGGGGGTGGGCAGACCAAATAATTGGGTAATCAGGGAAACATTGAAGAAGGGTAGCATTCAGTTTTGAGGTTCAGAGGAAGAGCAGAATGTGAATGAGGGCTGTATGGGCTCAGACTCTGCCAGCTGCAGTGAGTCAGTCACTTCAGTCCCTGGGCCCCAACATTCTTCTTCTAGCCACGAGGAACAGGTGCACTGCTGTGGGAATATTTTGTAGATCTGAAAAACCTACTGTGTAAAACCTTCTGTGTAAAACCTACATGTGCCTTCTTCTCCTTACCACACCTGCATTCAGCATAAAGCAATTGCCTAATATATATTATAGGCTGTCCTAAGGAATAATATATTGACTGACTGGCTGGCTGCTTCCCTGGATGAATGAATACAGGGCTGCAGTAGGACTATGGTGAGTCCTACGTGGTTTTACCTTTGCGAGCCCTTTATTCCATTTAAAAATTTTCTAATTATATTTTTATATAATTATATAATATAATAAGTATATAATCTACCTTATGTAATACGTAATATACTTTACGATGGGCCCCTAAAAGCACTGTGGGCCCTTGGTACTGGACCTACTGAGCTAATGGAAAATCAGCCCTGAAGGAATGGCTGAATGAACGCTTCCATTTCCTGAGAAGTTTCATAAGAGAATTCTTCGACCTCAGGAAAAAAATGCACCAATGGCTTCCCCGTATTTTACACCAAGCCTGTTGCCTAGTTTCCTTTTCTAAGGAGGTGGGTGGGATTTCCCTTGTTCTGCCTTTTCACATTTAAAAGGAAGCTATCCCCCGCTCCTGGGCTGCCAGTAGCTCATATGGCATTTTTGTGCAAATTAGAAAAAGTCTTCTTGTCTATAAGCAGGAAGGGCAGGTGAGACGGGGGGCGACTTTAAAGTATTATATTATCACACGATCTGAACAACCATCTCCACTGGTCCTGGGGAAAGTACACATTCAGATCAGCATCCCTTCCAACCTCATTTGGGTGACCACAGTAGCTGCCTCTGTGTCACGGCAATGGGAGGGTACCACAAATCCGTGGCCTCCAGCTGAAAGGCAGCATAAGTTTAGTTTAAAATGTCAAATTTCATTCTAAGTCTGTGGCCAAAACCAAGACTCAAATCCCAGCAGGGCTCAGGCAAAACCTCTAAAAGCAGTGTGAGACAAAAGTCATGACCTCAGATGATCCTGGAGTAAAAAGTGGACAAGGCACAACCACATGAGTGTGCACCTGTGTGCATGTGCACACATGCTTTCCTGTGTGTGTGCCTGACCTTGCAGGCAAGTGCCTGCAAGCACCTGGTGTGAGCCAGAACTTTCACGTTGCTCCCTGGGATTCCATGCGGAAGCCTGGTATCTCCACCACATGCCCTCCTGCATGGTAGCACATGTCTACCACAAGAAAGACACCTCCTTGTAGTTGTGACACTGTTACCAAGTCCAAACTTGTACTGCTCACCTCACGGCAGGCCAATAAATCAAGAGACGAGTCGTTGAGGCAAGAAATAGCAACTTTATTCGAAAGCCAGCAGACCGAGAAGATGGTGGACTCGCGTCCCAAAGAACCATCTTACCTGAGTTAGAATTCAGGCTTCTTTTATACTAAAAGAGGAGGGGGTGTGGCTGGTTGTTGCAGACTTCTTGGTGTCAGAATCCTTTGTTCTTGCAGCTGTCCATGTAGGTCAGGTCATAATGCCCCTGTAAACCTCCAACAAGACAAATGTTATCCTCTGTTCTGCAACTTTTTACCTCTATATGAATGGGAAAGTGTTATACCTTTAAAGGTCAGAGTTTTGAGAATGGGCTATCCTGTATATTTCAGGCTATAGGCAACATTCTTAACTTGTAGCAAAAGCATTGAATACAAGGTTAAAGTAAAAGAAGCAGATTTAATATGGAGTCAGATTCTGTTCTTCCCTATTATAGCAGCCTATGTGGGTCACAGTCTCAACATCACATGCAGCAGTCCTGCCTGTCTCCCTGAGTCCCCTGGGCGATACAAAGCCCACAGACACACACACTAAAGCCTCTGTTCTCCTCTCTGCAGGGATGACATGCCAAGCTCGAAGCTCCTACATCACTAGTGAGATCCTCTGGGGGTACCGGTTCACCCCTGTTCTGACGCTGGAGGACGGGTTCTACGAAGTCGACTACAACAGCTTCCACGAGACCTACGAGACCAGCACCCCATCTCTCAGTGCCAAAGAGCTGGCCGAGTTAGCCAGCAGGGCTGAGCTGCCCCTGAGCTGGTCCGTCTCCAGCAAACTCAACCAACACGCAGAACTGGAGACTGAGGAGGAAGAAAAGAACCCTGAGGAGCAGACGGAGAGGAATGGTGATGTGGCGAATCTAGAGAACGAATCCAAAGTTTAGTCCCCTGGCTGGGCCACCCCTTCTCCTCTCCGCCCACAACCTTCCCTTGTCTCTCATTCTCTTTCTTTTCTGTCTCTCTTACTTTGTTCTTTCCTTATATTGAAGTTTGGCATTACCAGAAAACAAATCTTCAAGGTGTAAAATATCTACCTGCCCTCTCAGTTATTCAGATCGACAAGGCAGATTCAGATTGGGTTAAGGTGTCATGTGCCCTCATTTGTGACCCAAGCCTGGTCTCCTCCCTGAATACGACACATCCAAGTCCTAGAGATTTCTGCTACTTAGCTGCATGTGTTGTACAATACCAGATCACTCAAAAGAGTGCATCAAAGAGTCTACCTGGGATATGATGAGGAAGGTCTCTGGTGCCTATTCATTCATGCAGTGAGACATAGAGTTGAGCCCTCAGTTTTATACATCTCAATAAATTTCATCTACAGGGCGAGGTGCTTGCCCTCTGCGGGCATTGCATTTATAGGACCCAGGTGAGGTAATGACAAAATACTGTACATATATATGCCTTATGTAATTATTTTCTTTTGCAGTTAGTAATAAAACCCAGCATGTACAAAAGTACTGTAGAACAAAACTTCTAAATAATGTACATAGATGTAAAATTAATGTAGGTTTAGATATATAACTTTAGAAATAAGATTAAAAGAAAAAAAAAGGATTCCCAAAGTACAGTAGGCATTTCTGTTCTGATGTCCTGTTTTCTGGATTTCTTTGGTCCCATTGACCGCTGGCCCTTTAGTGCATGGCCTTTGCTCTGTGTCCCAGACTGGCAGCCGTTTGGGTACCTCACTGTTCCCTTTAATTGAATCTAATAAGCCATAGGTCTGGGAGAAGTTTGGAGGTTCAGTAGATGGCAAAACACACCACCAGTATGCTGATATACTGTGAAATGTTTACAAAACTGAGGTCTCTTTTTTAAGTAACAAGACCTCACTGACTAGCCTGGGGCAGAATTTCAGGAGGAGGACATGCTCTGGCATGTCACCAATGATGTGTGCTTTTTGGTTTTGTTTTGTTTTTGTTTTCTGCCATAGCTCGTAGCTTATAGGATCTTAGTTCCCTGACCAGGGATCAAACCTAAGGCCCCAGCAGTGAGAGTGCCAACTCCTAACCACTGGACCACCAGGGAATTCCCACCAATGATGGGAATTATGTGTTTATGCTTTTCAAGTTAGCTCTCACCCTCTGTAGTACCACAGTTTGAGAAACTTTTTTTCTACAAAACCATTGACTCTCCAACTATTTTCACTCTATAATCACAGTTAAAAAATGAGACATGTTAAATTAGTAAAAGGTGGTTTGGGTCTAAAGTCATGAAATTCATAATGGCATGTAATGGGCGAAGTATATTGTAGTCACTGATCTCACACACCTTGACTCCATCTGGCACTCTTCCTATACCTGGGGGGCTTATCCATCAGCATTCCTTGCATTGGTATTTATTATTATTATTATTATTAGTTTATTATTATGAAATTTCCAGAGTTCAATATTTAAAGATTAGATCAACAATCTTGGTGACTGTCTAAGAAATATTTCTAGAGTATGCCACAGGTTAGAAATCAAATCCAAAGTGTCTCCCAATCAAAGAAAACAAAAAACTACAGCCTTAATTCATTTTAATCTGCAAAGATAAAAAGAAGGAAAGAAGAAAGAAAGGAAGGAAGGAAGGAAGGAGAGGAGAGGAGGAGGGAAGGAAGGACTAGTATTTTGTACTGAAAATCTAATTTTCAAAATGAAAAAATTTTCAAATGAAAAAATAAGAAAAGGAAGAGAATCTTAGACAAAACCTCAAGGGCAGGTGGAGATTTTGCACTGAAACAGATCTTTCACATTAAGTTGGCATTTATAAACTGTTTGTTCCCTAACATAATCATCCATCATAAATATTCATTGACTGGATCCAAGTTCATTTTCAACTTCTACAGCTGTGCTTAGTTTGAGGCTTTGCACCATGGAGGTCAAAGAGCTCAAACTAGCTGTCCCTCCCTGCTGCCCTTGCCTTCCCTGACCAGATATCACAGGCCTTCACACTGTAGTTTGGGGACCTTGTCTACGAAAAAGCATGTCCCAGAGATAAGGAAAGTAACTCCTCAATTTGACATGGGGGGTGGGTCTCTCTTCTCCCACTTCTGACACCTTGTATCAAGACAACTGCTTCTTGGTACTAACGGTATGGAAAACAAAACTGTTGGCCATAACTCTTTCCTTTTGCCAACATTTCACTTTTCACATTGAATATTTGTTGAATCATTTATTCATTCCACATACTCCAAAGAGGAGGTTGTAGTTGAGGAGGAGGAGGGAGCCCCATACACTTCTTGCCAGGCTGTGGGGAGGTACTGTGGCCTTACCTCAGTGTAGCCTTAGGAAGGGCCCTCTTGCCTTGGGGGCGCTATCCCTGCAGCATCACCAGAGTTGCAGGGCCAGGCATGGTAGCACAAAGCAAGATCAGCTGGGGTTGCAAAAAGTCTGCTAATTTAGCTCCTAAAGACTCAATGGGCTTTTCTAAGTCCATTAGTAAGGCTTCAAGGACAACACACACCCTGTTGTCTGGTTGGAAGAGCAGTTGGGGGCCCTTGAGCACAACTGAATGAAGAGCCTTGACAACCCTTTGGTCAGACACACACGTCAGTTCTGTATCTGTGACAGGGCACCCAGGTATGAGGTCTTTCCCTATTTCTCACTGTCTTTGGTGTCAATGTGGTTGGAGATGGAACATGAACCAAATCTCATTTTTGTAATGTGAGCCTCTGAATCTTTAAATGAGGATGCTCCAGAAGAACCTTTTATTAGAATGTCCTTATCAAACATGTCTATTTTTCTACAATTATTGATAACACAGTTTAACAGTGTATTTTGTGTCAACTGTTAAAATTTGGAACTGAAAAAAGCTCATTAAGACTGAATTTTCTAAGTAGCAAGTATTGAATGGTGTTTTTCATTAACAGTTCAGCAAAGATGACCCTACAATTTCTATCCATTCTCTTCCACCATATCCAGGCTCCAATCACGCAGTCACTTTGTTAGCAAATCCAGAGCTATGGAAATAAATAAGCCTATTTTAATGCACCAATACTCATAATGAATGAGGATCACACTCAACTTGATATTTTGGTCTGTTTGATGATGTATTTGAGTCCCTTTCCCATAAAAGCATGGCAGTATCCATTAGCCAGATAAGAACTTTGGGCTAAAGGGTTACAGTTTGCCACAATTGACTCCAGTTTGGAGGAAAGGGCAGACTCAGCTGGGAGCATGACCTCCCCAAGGGCTGACAAGACCCTCAGATTGTCATTTCCACCCACCTCAACATGCTTTCCGACTGGAAGAGCACCTATTTATTTATGTCAGCTTTATGTAACTGATAAAATTGTTTATGTCCTTGGATGTCCCATGCGCAAACTATACTCTTTTGGGTTAACACCTTTGCAATCACTGTAATGTCAGGTCATTACTTTTCCATCCCTTCGAAATATGGCCTTTTAGCCTGGTTGGTCCAATACATAGACACTCTATGTCCAGCAGAGGGAAACCTCTCTTTCCCCACTCCCTTCCTCCATCTGTCCCTCTCTTTTTCTCTTTCCCTAGTTCTCCAGTTCCAGTTCCATTGATTTAGTTTAATATCTTATGTTCCCTAACAGAAATCCAGCTACTGTTTCTAAAAAGGTCAATCTATTTCTTAAGCACAATTTTCTCTTGCTGGTTTAACCAAACTAGGGCTCTGAAATGTCTGTTTTTCATTATACTCTAATTTAAAAATTATTTATGACTTCATTTAAAAGCCTAAGTTTCCCCAAGCAACATTCTTATGTTTTCCCTTCCTACATTTTCTTACATTTCAGGTTTCTTACTTTTTCCCCTTTGCTTTTTTATTTAGATTGAAGCCAGTATCTTTGGGATGTTCAGAAACTGTTTATAAATATGGGAGCTGGTGGACAGAGAAAGAGACTCTAAAAATTCCATTAGAAAACTATTTTAACTCAGCAAAATAATGTGAAATCATTTGCTTAGCTAAGTGATACAAGATTTAAAATTATATATATATATATATATATATATATATATATATATATTCATAGTCATTTCCAAAACAGCTTGCCAAGGGTCTGACTACTTTACAGTCTTTCTTTCCTTGACTTGGGTGATACTCTATGTGATTCAGAAGAGTCATAAGGGTAGTTGAAGATTAAATGTCCTACATAGATGGTAAACATTATCTTCTATGGTTTCATTTCAATGGATGGCTATAAAGTCAAAAAACATAGGCAACATATACATAATAGATGATTCATTGATATTGCATTACAATATAATCAACTAATAATACCTTGTTTCTAGACTCTATGGCCACCCCGCATTTAAGAAAATGTTATCCTTTCATTTAAAATTGAGTAAAGCATACCTCTTCCTAATATCTCTGCCCTCAACGTCTTGGAGAGCTTTTGATGTAGAATGTCATCTAGCAGTCCAAGCTCTGTCAGGTTACTATTTGATTTTGACAAAGCACAGTATGTACAATAATAACCAAACAATATTACACCCTACGTTGTGTGGTGTTTGGGAGCATTCAGAGTACTTGCACAAGTTTTCTCATTTAATTCTAATCCACCATCAGAGCTTGAGTATTATAATTTACGTTTTATAGACAGAAAACTAGGGTTTGGGCAAACTGAGTAACTTCCCCAAGGCTACAAGGCAAGTCAATCACAGATCCTGGTCTCAAATCCAGGTGCTGAGGCTAAAACCATGGGCTCTTTTTACTACAAAAAGGGTCAGCAAACCAAATCTGCGCACAGAATCTGGCCCACTGCCTGTTTTTGCACCACTTGCGAGCTAAGACTGATTTTACATTTTTAAATGGCTGGGAAAAAGAAAAAAAAAAAAAGAAACAAGAGAAGGATACTTGTTGACATGCGAAAATTATATCAAATTCAAATTTCTGTGTCCATAAATAAAGTTTTATTGGAACACAGGCACACCCATTGGTTTATCTGTTTCTATAACTGCTTTCACAATACACAGCAGAGCTGAGTAATTAAAACAGAGGTCACATAGCCAGAAGACTATTTACTCTCTGACCCCTTTACAGGAAAAGTTTGCCAACCCCAGTACTGTGCTATTAACTACTATTAATACCATTAAGTACTATTACATATTGTACTGTACTATTAAAATATTCCTGGGCAAATTAGAATGATGACATTCTTTTCCAGTATGACTCTATTTTCCAGTATTGTGCTTAGGTTTGTTCAAGGAAAAAAAACTCATTTTTTTGTAAGAGAGACAACTGCTTCACAGGACTTTGAGTTGAGTCTCAAAGAAAAACTCCTTTCTTTTCATAACCATTCCCCCAAGAGTGGTAAATAGAGTAAACAGTCAGGCAAGAGCCAGTGGCCAGCTCAGAAAGTGATGTGGTACAACTACTCATTAATAAACAATTTTAAAAAATGGGAATTCCAGGGACTGAGCTATTGCTTCGCTGACATGCATAGGTATTTAAATATGTAGACAGCTGGGGCCTGGGCCTCTGCTGAGTGGGATGAACTAGACTTGCAGTAGTTGTCACACATCCGAACAAATTCCCCTCCCCTACATGCCTTCCTTCTAATTCTTTCCTGGAATAGAACTAACTAGACTGCTGAGCTGTCTCTCCATCTTCCCTTGCTAGTTTCCTCTAGCTCCCAATTGATCAGCGTGATAAGAAGAATCTTAAACCACCACTCCTGTTTAGTTGTACTTGTTCTGGCTCCCTCTAGGTACTCAGCTAAAAGTTTAACATGCAAATAAAAACTAAATGCTTCTCTTAGAAAACAAACCGGTTCTGTGAAAGAGCTCAGGAAGAAACAGAAGCATAGTAAAGGGTTATTGCATTGTTTGCTGCTTT